GTGCAGAGATAAATGTCCTTGGGGGATCACAGGCAGCCTGAGTACAATATAAGGCAAACACCGTCTAATCTGGTGAAGCCACCATCTGTGTCCAGCGCCGCTCGCTCTTTTCCACAGTTTGTGTTTGTATCGCGGCAGCCGCTCTTAACAACCACTTCCTTCTACTGCAGTAACACACACATCGATACAGAGGGTGATTAAAATGAGTTTAAGTGAGAGGACTGCCTTTTGTTCACACCATCTCCGAATTACACGAGGCTTAGCTACGGCTCACATTTTCCACGTGTTGCTCGCTGCGTTTTCAGCGACGCGGTGGTTCAGTTTATACAGAGCGCAGTTGTTCTTTGATGTCCTGCGTCAATTATCACGTGGTTAAACACAATGTACCAGTCAATCACTTAGCATAAAGTAATTAGTCCGTTCGATGACAGGCACAAAGGGGAAGGAAGAACATTACTGATGAAATGTGCTGCTGGTTGGATCCGGTTGGTTGTCGAGGCAGTGGAAAGAGCCTCACCTTTTCAGATACAGAAATCAGCCCCGGGTGCATGACGTGCTCCACGGTGTAATGGAATGCCTTTATTAAAACGCAACAGTCCTCGTCCGTGGCGTGGCCATTGAAATTTCCATGATTGCTGAAGACACACAGGTCTCCACCCTTGAGCAGATTTATTTTCACACATGCTGGGTGAGGTGTCTGCGATTCCTCCCACCCTGTCATTGTTTGCTCTGCTGCTGAACGTGAATGTGAGCAAGAAACCAGACAGAAGTGAAGACTTCTGCAGCTGCGTTCGACATGACCTTTGCAGATGTCACGTGGTCCCGACAGTCCAAAGACGTCACAGTCGGACGTATGATGTGAGAATGCAGTGATGACTTGAATCTTTTTTTTTTTTTGTTATTATTATTCCCCATAATTCCAACATAATTTAGTAAAACATGCATAATACACCAGAGGGCGTTGGAGACATTTCTCGGTGCTTTACACTGGTGTTAATATGCTAATGGTGGAATACATTACAGAAGTCTTCTCTGTGCTGTGTTGAACTAAATTGCAGGGGACGTGTCCGACTGTGTTCTGTAAAGTATTAGGTGTGTTTTCTTGTACCGGGGCCGTCTCTCTAATTACGCTCAGGCTCGTGTCTGATTTTCGCACACATACCTCTTGTTTAAATGTGGGCAACTGGGTACAGCGCAAGGCTTTGATCACCTGGACTCGCACCAACAACAATATGTAAAGTTGGATGCAGGTTTTCCAATATGTGCCCCATATTGACTTCAAAAGGACGAACAATGATGTATTCCCTGTCCAGACACTGAAGCATGCAGGGAATGAAATAGAAATCCTATGCACTATCCTGCAGTGGTGCAAAAAAAAAAGAGGGAGACAGACCCAGAGTCTGTCTCTAAAAACAAGTGTTTCCTGCTCTATACACACACACACACACACACACACATACGTCTCACAAATAAATCAAACCTCCCAAGTGCTTAACGTCATCAGCATTCCCTGAAACAACCGTGACTGCGGAGCACCACTGCATGACACCAGAGTCTCAGGGGTCAAATGAAATGCTCACTCAAAGTGCCACTTCATCTTCAAGGCATAACAGGGAGCAGCAGCTCAAGTGCAAACTCTCATAGCAGCGGGTCCTGTTGGCCATTGTGCTCGTCTCTCCGGCTGAAAGGCCTCCATAGCGGTGCATTGTAAACCTGAGTCTTTTTGCGTTCTTCTGCGGCCACGCATGACTTCCACCCGGCACCGGCACCTACTGCCTGGCTGTAGACCGCCACCAGGGCGGCGTGGAATGCCTCCAACACTCTCCACCGACAGACACATCACCCAGACCCAGGAGTTGCCTCAACCTGCGGACATGAGCTGTTTGTGTTTTTAGCTTTACATGGGGTAAATGTTTTGATTAAAAGGTCGTCACTATTTGTCCGGTCACAGTCGGCTTTGTAGTGGAGGGGTATGCAGCCGCGCTGAAGGATGGACGGCCGCTCCCTGCCTCCAGTGAGTGGTTGAACGGGAGAAGAGCTGTCATCACTGGTANAGAGGGGAAGGGAGGGGGGGGAGAGAGGAAGTAAGAGCTGGAGAGTGCCGGTGGTCGACACTGTGACGTGGGAAAAGATGTCAGGAGTGGGAAAAAGGGAAAGAACATGTGTGAAGGAGGTCATAGCAGGGTCCAGCTCACCTCACACCCCTGTGGGTAAGGGTGTGAGGTGAGCTGGAACTATTACATAAATGGGGGAGGGGAGTGTCTGGGATCAACAGGCCTGATGGGGAGGTTGAGGCCAAAGTTTTGTTGCTAAAGCAACTCAGGGGACGTGAATTTTGTTTCCCAGCTTTCAGTAAAAGAGGAGACTTACAAGAAAATTCTGTCTGCATTGTGTTAGAGGAGTTACGTCAGAGGATGATGGACCAATGGGGTTAAACAGCGTAAACCTGGAAAAAGGGATATTCCGTTTTTTCACATTAAAATTAAGAGTTGTATTATATGTGTATTATCTAATTTATCATCTGATAAAGATATACAGAGTCGCTCTCAGATATAAACTCAACATCTGGAAGTCCATTAATTGTTTTTTTTTTATTTTCATGAGGGTGAATATTTTATTCTTTAATATTTTATTGGTTTATACGAAGTAGATTTTCTGCTGCTGATCATCGCTGATTAGAGATTCTGTTTTACGGTAGGAAGACTTGGCCTCTGACTCATAAAACAGGCAAACATTGCCACCTGCTGGTTACTTTTCCAAAGTCCTAGTATGAAGTAAGGCAACAATGGAGGTTTGACGAATCACACAACTATGTACAGCAGATAAACATTTGTTGATTGTACAAATATGGAAAAAAAGTTTCTGACACTTGGTGCCCTCACACAGTTCAAAAATATGTTATTAAATATTTTATTATGTAAACAGTTCACTCTAAATTAACCCTAGGTGAGAGTCTAAAGATAAATGTTTTTTTGTATAATAAACTTGTGAATAGTCCACGGTGCACCAGCTGTTTGACTGGCACCAGAAGACCAGAAGGTGAATAAAAAATAATTGAAAATATATATGAATGTCACCTGTAACCCATGAATAATTTTTGTTAGGTAAATATATCAAGACTAGGGTAGAAGTTTTAATTCCTGCAGTGAGGGAACAGTAACGTAAAGTTCAAAGAAACAGAGTTATGAGTAGATTTTTATAGAACAGAGTGGGTGGAGGCTTACATGTCAGCTGTGACAGAACGAGCTAATTCTTGAAAGTAAGACAGTTCGCTGTTTCCCAGACGTGAACAGGAGGTGGCGACCTTCAAGGTGAGATTACTGAATGTTTATTTCTCCTTTTGGCATCCAGCTTCTTAAGGGCAGCTACTGTCTGGACACAGGGTCAGAGGCATAGAGTCACAATTGTATATTCAAAATAAGTCATTCTGAGCAGTAAGACAATGATTACATGCACACAAGGATAATACTTTCTCTATCAATCTTTAATTCTCAGCAGATGGTGAGAGACCTCAGAATTCTATCCTCTGTGGACTGTTGGAGCTGCACACTGTTGGTCACTGAGTGTCATTAACAAGACAAACACACAACTGAAAAAGGCCTGCTGTCACAGGATTGAACCTGACACCCCGGAGAGGGTAACACACAATCCCTTTTACCTCCTCTGTGATGAGCTGATGCACGAAGCATCGACAGGATCCAGCTTTCAGTGCGACTGACTGAAAGCCATTGTGCAAATATCAGTCATAGCTCCAATATTTTGTGAACAACCGTCCTCACACTGAGGCTGCTGTGAGATTGTCATATCCTTCCTAATCCGTTAGATAGGCTATGACAATCATTCAAGGAAAATCCAGCTGCAGATTTGAGCACCTCAACACTTTCATTTGAGTAGATAACTGGTCATCTAAAAATAACTATAGCTCGTCACAGATTTAATTAATATATTTGATTATTGATTAATTATAAAAGCAATCCGGGACTTGAATAATTAATAATTATATGTGTCCATATTGACAAACAATAACACAACCAGGTGTGGTCTCAACATTTGAGGCTTTTTAATGGTGGTATTATTTTAAATACAATATTTTAATTAAAATTTTTTAATGATCATTTGAGGCTTTTTAATGGTGGTATTACCTATTATTTTAAATAAAATATTTTAATTAAAGAATTTTAATGAGTTACATATTTTACCTCTATCTTAAACCGAATTGTTAATAACAAAATAATGCAACTGAAGGATACAGCCTTCAGGTCACGTGAGCTTGCAGCTGTAGAGCGGTGAATCGCTCACAGATAGACAAGTGCCAGGAATGTTAGTCGATCCCAGATCGACTCGGTGCTTTGGTGGAAGATGGCTCTCTCCAGAGGCTTGAGATGCTGTCAGAGGGTTTTCTCCTGGATACCTGTGCTCATCATAACCTCCGTGGTGCTGTGGTCTTACTACGCCTACGTGTTTGAGCTGTGTCTGTGTAAGTATGATGAATAGATGTTTTAAAGGAGAAATCATTGTGAATATATCCGTTTTTTTTTATCTGGACGTCGCGTATTGTACAGCAGTGTTTGCAACATACGGTCAGTGACAGAGGCGGAAGTGGTGTAGGGCGTGAGATTTGATTTTCCTTACGTACATTTTTGTCATGTAAAATAACTTATTTTACTTATTTTTACTGATTATAAAGATGATTTATTCTTGGCCTGTGGGACCTATTTAGTCAAAGAGATACTAACATGGCTAAACCCTGTATTTAGCTAGTCGTGTTAGCCGGTAAATGATGTTCCTCGCTTTAATTTGGATAATTACTGTCATTCCTTGAACGCGATAATTATAACTACTTGTAGTCAGTATTTTATCTTTAAGTATGAGCTTTCAACCTTGTCTGGTTTTGTTTTACAGTTACACTCATCAACACGTTAGAAAAAGGTGAGAATAAAAAGGGTGTTCATCAGTAAATAAACTACAACACAACAGTGACGTGTGAGTGTGTCTTTGTGATCCTGACACCGGTGTTTGTTTGTTTGTATTCCAGTCATCTACCTGCTGGTGTTTCATGTCTGCTTCGTGATGTTCTGCTGGACATATTGGAAGGCCATTTTCACACCACCTGCTACACCATGCAAAAAGCAAACGCCAACGTCTTATTAAAGGTGATTTATGTAACATTGTTTAATACAGAAGATCAGAGATCAACCTGAGGCTGGTGTTTGGCTGTAGTTTCAGCTGTCGTACTCGGACAAGCAAAGGTACGAGATGGAGGAGAGGCCAGACGCCCAAAAACAAATCCTGGTTGAAATTGCAAAAAAACTGCCCATCTTCACACGAGCACAATCTGGAGGTATAGTAGAAAAAAATCTGTATATTACACTTATAGAGTCTATATACTAATATTACTCACGCTAAGTAGAGAACCACGTGATGTATGAGAAGGAAAGGACAATATGATTGGTGTGTTCCAATTAGAACCCCCATCAAGAACAATCAGCCAATGGATTTCCTTCATTAGTGCCGATTGCTCTGACCAGGTCTAAAGCCACAGGAAGTAAATGAAGGGTAAGGTCATCTCACGTGTCGTTCACTCAGCTGCTCGTCATCTTGTCTCCAGCTATCAGGTTCTGTGACCGCTGCCAGGTACTGAAGCCCGACCGCTGTCACCACTGCTCCGTGTGTGAAACGTAAGTCACTGAGGCAAGACTAGACTGCTGTGATAATTAGGTGCTGCTCTGCTGTTGGTGTGATGGCTCTTAAAGGGACACTACATATAATAAATCATCATTAAGACAAGAATTATATCTATCTAGTGTAAGACTTCAAGGTTAAACTGATGTCTCCACTGCAAGGCGCTAATATAATATATTTTTAATTGAGATGTTAAGCTTCAAAATAAAAGTGTATATGTACTAAGCAGCACTTACATATTTTCTTATTACAGGCACTTGTAATTGTACACAAAAAGAAATATTGGCTTAAAGTAAAAGCAGACAACTACAAAAAAAGAAACTGCAATGTTTTGTGGAAAATTTGGTGGAAAATAAATATTAATTATAAGTCAGAATTTTTCTTGCTTGATATTCACCAATGGTGAATTTTCTCTCTCTCTCTTCAAAGGTGTGTGTTGAAGATGGATCACCACTGCCCCTGGTAAGTTGAGCCTCAGTTTGGACGTATTTGACAGAATCATTTATTCAATTATTTTTTTACTCTGACGTCCTGTATCTTTACTTTCAGGGTGAACAACTGTGTGGGCTTCTCCAACTACAAGTTTTTCCTACTTTTCCTTTCCTACTCCATGGTTTACTGTGTATTCATCGCAGCCACAGTCTTTCAGTATTTCTTCAAATATTGGTCGGTAAGTGACTTTTGTCTCATACCTGAAGTTGTAAAATGGATAAAGGATTCACTCTAAAAGTCACTGATATTAAAATGAAAACCGAGAAGAGAATCTGAATGTTTTTCCTCATCACATCATTGATTCTCTCTGTATTTTCTCTCCTCTACAGGGAGAATTGCCAAACAGGCCTGCAAAATTTCATGTGCTTTTCCTCATGTTTGTGGCGCTCATGTTTTTCGTCAGCCTCATATTCCTTTTTGGCTACCACTGCTGGTTGGTGGCCAAGAACCGATCAACTTTAGGTGGGACTTGATGCAGTTATTGGGGGGGAAAAAATCAACTGAAGGGATTCTAAAGATGAACGTTTTTGACCCGATTATGTTTTTTCTCATCTTCCAGAGGCCTTCTCTGCTCCAGTTTTTCTAAACGGCCCTGACAGAAACGGCTTTAATGTTGGCATAAGGAGAAATTTACAGCAGGTATTTGGCGAGGATCGAAGACTGTGGTTTATCCCGGTCTTCACAAGGTGAGTTTGATGTCAGAAAAGCTCCAGCTGAGCTGCATTATTGGTCATTTTTTCTCTCCTGCGGCTCACTGTACATTTCCTTTGTGCGTGAACATGGCCTGCCCTTTTAATAAGTTAGAATTAAAATACAAAATGCAGCATTATTAACTCCGAGGGATTAAAAGAAAAATCACAGCAGGGTCTGAGCTAATGGAGCTGGTGGTTATACCTATTTAATTAGCCTCCTTCTTCTTTTGTCTACTGTATTCAACAGCCAAGGAAATGGCCACTACTTCCCCTTGAAGGATCGAAGTTCTGAGTCTCGAAACCTTTTATTATCCAATGAGAACATGTGGGAGGAGTCAGACGAATGCTCTGATGAAGGAAGCTTTGGTGAGTCACTTTGGTTTGGACAGCCTAATGATTGCTTTCAGAGCCTATAATGTGCACATTATAAGTGTTTTGTTTTTTTAATTCAAGTCAAGACATTAAACAGTAATGTATTGGTCGAGAAGAAATTCTAGACAATACATACCAGAATAGAGAATATATGTATATATACACCAAACTCTAGTATTCCCAAACCAAAGTACATGTACCCATATCTCTGACATGCAAGCAAAGGAGTAATTGTTGTCATTGTTACCACCGAAGATCTGTTGTTGTATATTTGTATTCTTAATCACATAATCCCAGTTCTACAGCAGATAATAGTCGTGCCACAAACCACTAATTGACATCCTTCAAATGCTGTTTGCTTCTGAATGATTAACCACTGCTCAGCATGTGGTTAATAATTTTTATTAGCTTTTTTTTTCCTTTCACCAATTATTCTCCTCAGTTCTCTGAGTAAAGTTTGAATTAGGGATCCTTTAAAATCCTTAAAAACAAGAAACATTTAGCAGCACCGTAATGTATATTTTGTACCTTTCAATTAAACAAGGCGTTGTAATTGTTGTGTTTCTACAGTACTTACTGCCAAAAACATAATATGTTTGTATGATATTTGTTAATTGTTATTTGTTATTCAAGAAAACTTCCTGGATACAGTGCTTTTTTTTATTTTCATTTTGTGCAGTGTTTTGAGAGGAACGCTTTACTACCACCTGGTGGTAACTAAAAAAATGAATCAGAAAGTGAAAATAATAAAAACAATGCTTTGTTACAAAGACTAAAATGTGTTGCTTTTCATTGCAGCTGATGATCATGACCCCTCGGTTACCATAGAGATGGAGGAATAATGTTAATGTGAAGAAAGGACCAATGAACCTGGCACAGCGTGTGGATAAACAGTATATTGTGTGCTGCTGCGTGTCACGTGGCCAAGCATTCCAATCATGCTGATGTTCACACCTACAGAAAAAAGGAGAATCTGAAAGGGTCAAACCAGTGGGTGATAACCTGCACTTGTACTGTAAACTATGAACACTTGTACAAAATGAAGACGAGGGGAGTTGAGGTGAGTGGACGACCAGCAGCAGCAGCTGCAGCCTTGGCTCTGATTATCTTATCACAGAGCTTCACTGTGCTTCCTTTATACTGTATATGCAGCCCTGCATCTGAAATGAACCGTTCACAGTGTTTATAGTGTTTACAGTGTTGATCTGTGCAGGCTGTCATGTGACCTTGGTTCAGTTGTTGAAACTTCTGCCTCTTGTATCAGCATTGACCATATCATTTAGTATACACACACACACACACTTCTGTGTTTTGGGGGTGTACTTCCACCTATTGTATCCCTTGTTTTGTTTGTGCCATTCAGGCATCTGTGGAGAAGAACCTGTCTGTGCAGTTAGGAAGTCACTGACAGACCAGTGACAGTGATCCAACTGAAGTTAACTTATATGTGTAGTTACTAGTTTGTAGCTACTCTTAAATAACAGGTACTGTATATCAGTATCACTGTTGTTAGTACCGTATTTCATGGAACTAAAGCCACACCTCATAGTTATGTTCTGAAATGCATACCACTGTATAAGCACATATATATTTATATATGTATATACATGTTTGTGTACTGTATACGTGTATATATGTATATATGTGCATGTGTATATATACATATATGTATATATGTTTACTGTACAGTCCTTAGCCGCAGATCTGTGAAATATGATGAATGATGTTGGCTAGACATAGAAATGTGGGGCTGGGTTAAGATTTTATTATGACATGATTATCTCATATACTGTAAGACTGTAACTATTTGAAAAAATATATCATATTTATAATGTTATCTAATCATTTCTAGTCAGATGTATGTGCTGATGTGAAATCACTCTTATTTTTATCCTTTACAAATAGAGACAACTGTATATACTGTATATGAATAGATGACTGATCTTCATCCACTGGTTGGCAGGTGTCAGTTATCGTCTGTAATACTTTCATGTTTTTGTACTTCCTGTATTTATTAATTTGAAACACTTTTATTTACATCCGCGGTGTCGGTTTATGGTATTCTGTATTTGGTAGACTTTGCTTTAAGGCTTTCATTAGTTTGATTTGCATAAAGAAAGATACACAATTTACAAAACATTGATTGATTGGAAAAAAACAATTGATGGGCCCTGTGCAGTACATCCTTGGACCTAATTGATGGGCCCTGTGCAGTACATCCTAGGACCTGGTTGCAACCCCCCTGTTGAGAGCCTCTGGTTAAGAGCAATTCTATGTCAGTGTACACCAACCTTTTAGCTTGTGGCTCAGCAGAAAGGCCACTTGGACCGTGCAATGTACTGTTAATGGGTAAGAGGATTTTTCCACGCCAAGTAAAATACTGGAACCTTGCTTGGTAATGAGTAGTACTTGTTCTGTATAAAATCAGATGGGGAGTACTTAGAGAATATTATTCTCATGGACACTCTTCTGTTCACTGTACTTGTTGAAGAAATATGGCCTTCATCAAACCTTCATGTTGTTTGACACTAAACATTTTTTTCCCTCTAATATTTTGAGTAGACTAAAAAAAAAACACTGCTCAGATGTGAGAAATGCACCAAGTGGAACATCTGCCTGTCCTGGATGAGTCATTGTTGAAGCATGTCAAAGACAGTGTGAAGGATGTGGATGTTCAGTGTTTCATGTGACCGTGTGTCTATTTATTACCTTATTTTTTTCCCTGTGTGCTGTTTATACCATCGCAGACCTGCTGCAGGTACTTCCTGTTGTTTTATTCCGTGAGGAGACCTGTGACCTACTGGAGCGATGTGCTTTCATCAGATATTAGGACATTTGTATATTAAAACAAATCTTGCAAACAGTAGTTCAGTGTTGTTCAAACACGTGATGCGAGTGTTGTACTTCCCATTCTGGTTCCCCTCCTGATGACCAGAAATGACCACACTCTCACTCTCTGTTCTGCCTGTTAAATACAAATTCTTTATTGATCCTACACTTGTTGTAACATGCAAAATAAAAATGCCAGAGAGTACAGACCTCCCATATGGTTTTGGAATATTTCTTCATACGAGTGAAAAACGTAAAGTTCCAAATACAATCAGGGTATGTATACTGTGTTAGTCTGGAAAAAGTTTGTAGCTAAAAGATGCAATATTTTGGCACAACAAGGAATCAACGCAATCAGCACTTAAATAAAACGACAAAATATACTTTAAAAAAAAAAACGAAACTTCAGTCACCTCCTTCTGATTGCTCTCAATCGGTCCCAAAGTACCGCTGTCCGAAATGTGTCGGAGCCACTTGGTGAACTTCTGTGGTCAAGATGGTGATGTCTGGGAACTCTTGAACTATAGACTTGGCTCCTGGAAGGAGAGTTGAAGTTGAGTTGTCATACAGTGCTGCTACGTACTCCTCCTTATGACTCGTAACTTAGATTTGTTTTATTTTTTTTCAAACCAGTATGAGTAGGAGTGTGTTGCCCTTTGTTCTGTTGTGATCACTGAACCTTTGTGTCATTTTCAATTGTGTATTTATTAATGAGCTGATGAGCTGTAGCCTTACCGTGAGGTGTGGAGAAGAGACTGAGGAGAATAATGTGCTTGGGCTGAACTCCGTGCTCTATCAGCACTCTCACCGCCTCGATCACTGTGTTTCCAGTACCTGCGGACGCACAGGGTTTCAGAGTTCCGTCTTCTAGAATTATGTACACTCTCCATTTAATGAAAAAGAAAAAGCTGCAACTAATCAAGTACTCAGAAAATACTAAAAGCAAAAATCCAAAACTTTCTTTAGAAAAAGGAACAAGTCCGTCTGATTGATCTGCTCACGCCATCTGACCGAATGACAGGCTTTAATTTCTGGCCCCATCAGCAGAAATCAATCTAACTCTGAGTGACATGGTAAACACACCTTTGACCACAGCCTGGTTTCCATCATATTCTTTCAGACACTGAAGAGAGAAAACGCTGCTTTTTGACATGAGGAAGCCGAGGCTATTAAGATACTATTTCTGTTGGCTCTCATTATGCTATTCAGCAGCATGGTGGCTATCCACCAGGCAGTGTATAATTTACCACATGAGAGCTATAATTACCAGAACAGTGTGAATGGCTCTGTATAATGTGGCTGTGCAGACTTGGTGAGAAGGTCAACTCGGCGGAGATTTCTCAGAGTGACTAACTGGATGGAAACATTTCTGTACATGTGCAGGGGAAAAAGTGGACACGTTTCTTGACATTCACGAGGCACCGATGGCGGCGAAGCGGAGTGGTCGGCGGGGAACGAACGAACTCCTGGTACTCACTGAGGATGGGATACATGAGCAGCACTTTTCTTCTGTACACGTCCGGAGGGAACTTGGCGTAGTACACTTTAGCCCTCTGTGTCTCTTCGTCACTCTGGATGAGGATCTTGCCAATGCGGATGGAGCGGCAGCAGTCCCTGAGTCCCTGCTCCATGGCCTCACCTAGAGGCGACACGAGGGATGGAAACCTTGAGCCTGTGATTTGGTGCTCACTTTTCACCATTTTCTTCGATACAGATGTGAAACTAGTATTCTGTAAATATCTCGTATCAAGACATGAGACGAACAGTTTTGATAAATATTAATATTAACAATCATTATTATTAATACTATTATAAAATTGCATTAAATATAATCAGCTCATTATTTTCTTCTCTTTCTATTTTTTCTTCCTGTAATATTTTTCTCCTTCCATTATCCTTGCTTTGTTTGGAGTCAAAGGCAAATACATTAAAAATGTATGTACTCATATCTGATGATACTATACTCATTAGTACATACACAATTCTTACTGCATCAATGTTACTTTAAGGTTAAGGACTCATATTTGTTTTATTTATATTTAAAGCTCTTGAACCGTACAGATCGGATATAATTTGTGTTAATAACCACGATAATTTTTGAGGTTTTTTATGTTTTTTTTAAAGACAGTCATTACATTTTACAAGTCTGACCTGCATCTGCTTTGACAACTGGACTTGATCTGTAGAAGGAAGAACTAAACTGCTGACTGCAGCTTCATGCATGTAAATACAGAGCTGCATCTGTCTCGCCCCAGATGTTTAACTTTACAGTAATTTTTATTAAGCAATCAAACCGTCTGTTACTTTCACTGGAAGGAAATAACAAACCGGCTGCCAGCACACGACCTGACGTACACTGTGTACGCTCAGTGGGCATCGACCGGAGACATGCTGTACTTTGGCTCCCTATAAGAAGAAGCACTAATTTGGTCTGTGGACCACGACTCACCACTCCTCATAATGCTGACTCCACAGTTGCCTCTTTCAAACTTGACGCCTTCATACTTGTATCCTGTAGGGGGACATCATGTTGGAGCGTTAACAAATGCTGCTGCTCTGATCCGGCCCACAAGGACGTACAATACAGTTCAGAAAAAAACCCACACTTGACTGCAGGAGTTCTGTATTTAATTATGTGCATACTGTTCTGTAATGGCTCTGGTCTGAGGTGAGAGATTCTGACCTGTTGGTGTGGTCACAGTGCACTCTGAGTAGGGGAGCTGGTTCAAGCCCTCTTCTACTACAAGTCTGATCTGTTCAGAAACAGTATGTTTATATTATGAATGAAGTATATATACAGTATATTTAAATATATATATATACACATATTTGTATGTAAATGTATGTATACCTTCATATACAAATATATACATACACACATATATAATAAAATAATATGTATATTATTATCTTACCAGTCGATCAGCACAAAAGACAAAATCTCCTCTGCTGGTTGTCCTGTAACAACCAGCAACAAGTACAAACATTAGCTTAATGAGATCATTTCAGGGGAATTGGTGGACATTCAACCTTGTGTCTTCAAATTTTTGGATTAAACTAAACTCCCTGCAAAAAAGAAGAACCTTGGTTATTCTGCTGCCACTCTGTACAAATCAGTAAGTGTTCTGTAATTAGTTTAAGTTTTCGGAAATAAATTAAGTTGTGTTTAGACTTAGAGTTAGTAGCCGCAGCTGACTACACTAAAAGTAAACAAAGGTAAAGGTGGATAGGGTCCTCATAGTGACATTTAATGTGACAAATGCTGTTGAAGACCAAACTAGAGGGGACTGGATTCGATCATAGACGGTACTGTATCTCGGACATTCTAAAGATAACCATCCTGGTTCCAATACCTGGTGACTTTTCGATAGTCTAGTCAAAATTTTCCACTAAATGAAATTGTCATTTACAGACGTAACATCATGCAAGATTTCACGAATGGTCAGTACAAGGTTTTAACATGGGTTTTTAGACTTTCTGTTTTGAAAATGTACTGTTCGGTTGACTGGACTTTTTGACCTATCTGAAAAAAAAAGTGAAGATGTAAAAACGGGGACTCACTTGTCTCTAATAATAGTCTGTAATTCACGGATCTGGTCGTTGAGAGGGAGCAGTTTGAGCTGAGGTCCCAGGTCCTCTTGACTCAGCTGTGGGCTGACATCACTCGGTTCATCAGCGGTTGTCAGCACTGCGGGAACATTGTTGTTGCTGCCGTTGTTCGCAAACCGCACTTGTTTAACTGGGTGATCCTGGCCACTGTTTACACCGTTCATTTCCTGATTGTGACACGGCATCCTGAGTAAGAAATCCATAGGAATTAACCTTAAACTACGCCGAGGCCAGGTCAGGTTTATAGACGAAGTGACCCACTTACTGCGCAGGCTGACAAAGAGAAGCAGTCAGACAACGTGTTCTGATGTTAGCCTCGTTACCTGTGTTTACCAGCGCGGTAATCATCTAATTAACGGTTTTACGCAGCTTGCGCACACTCATCATACATTAGTATCTCATAAACAAACCTTAAAATCCCATTCTGGGAGTGTGAAATTTTAATTCGTCGCTTAAATTTTCCTTCGGAAGTGACAGCTGTAGTCGCTGCTGTTGCTACTAGTCAGTTAGCTTTGAAAGTGACAGCGCGTCGATGACGAGGCGGATATGACGTAGCCGGCGTGTTGACGGACCATCTTTCCTGCTTCGTCAATATGGCGGCGATGTTGGTACCGCTGAAATGCGGCTGTAACTTTCAGAAAAGAAAACTAGCAGTTCTCCTGCGACAGACAAGCTCATACCACATCTGGAATAAAAGTCACAGTGCCAGCGGCAGCGACCATAAACGTCAAAACCCCAGTACGGTGAGTGTAGCGTGAGAAGAGAGCGCGTGAACAAGAGGGCACGGTGTTTTTGGTGTGTATAAGAGAGGACGATAGCCATAGAGCAAGGGCAGAGGTAAAAAAGTGTCCTATACTAACTTTTAAAAACACTCACAGTTTATTTATTCAATGTAGTATTGTGTAAACGTCGTCGTAAAGGTACATTTAACGATAGACATGATGAACGTTGCTTTGTCAAAGTGTATACAGCGTGATTAATGGAGTATGACAGGTTTAATATTTGTTGTTTAATTGACATGATCAATGAAGTTCTTACTGTATGTCAACCATGTTGATGTGTTCAGCTTGTCTGTCACGTGTGCACGTGTTAGATAAGAGCGTCTGTCACTGTGTTTTTCGTGCTGATACGACTATAGTCACGTGTTCATCGTCTGTAGTGACTGTGCTCTGACAGCGCACTCTTTTTTTGGTTAAGTACACTATGTAAAATTATCATAAATACACTGGAGACAGTGTAAAAGGCACAGTTTACACATTTGATGCATTTTTTCATATCCAGCCTAACTGGCAGTGAGTTAAGTTAAATGCTGAGACGGGGGTGTTAAACTAAGCTAACGATAACATTTAACTTAAGCTCAATTAACCTTGATGCTAAATCCTAAACAGTGCAACTTCACGGGGTAAAATAAGAGAAAGAGTCAATACACAGTTCGTCAGCACTAACCTGTCACAACATAGAATTGATATCATATACAGATTTGTACAATGTAGCATTTGAAAGCAGCATTTCCCAAATAAAATACAGAAAGTAAAGCCAAAACAATACTAGACCTTACTATCACATGGAGGGTTTACACTGACATGTCTTGAAAAGAGATTATTGTAGTCTATAGTTCATATAGACTGTAGAATTCAATGTCATTCATCAACGAGACTGTGTATGTTATGTTATGTTATATTACATACAAGGTATTGTGTTCAGGCACAAATACACAGTATTATTTGTGAATGAGAGATAGTGGTGTAAGTTCATGGTTTAGTTCAAAGTGGTGTCTGTATAACATTTATGTTCATTACAGGACAAAAATAACAGCAAGAACAATTACAAATACAGAAAAATAGTTTTAAAATGATGACAGATAATTAGAAAAATTCAGATGATAAATATTTTTCAGATTTGATATGTTGTCCGTGAATATATTAAGATATAAATATTGCCAGTGTGATAATTGTATAAATTTATTGCTATAAATGCTACAAATCTTGTCAATTAATATAATCAGGAAACATACAGGGACAAAACTCCATTCACCTTTGTAGTAACATTCTTTCAGTTTTTGATTTTTAGAGAAATGAGACAACACAGTCGGTGAATGTTTAAATCCTTCTCAAACAAAGGCCTCTGTTCAAAAGGGGACACGAATCACTGGCTTTGCTGTGGGGGCGGAGTGTTTATGTGGCATGTTAATCATTACTCCATCATGTGATCAATAATTGTACTTCCTCCTATAATTCTAGAAAACACTAAATGTCACAACTGGAGAAATAACTTCAGCTCTCAAGTAAATCAAGTAAACAGTACAAATGACACTGCTTTGTATGTTGTGGGTTTTGAGCAAATACACTTTTTGAATGCTTTATTATACATAAATTAAACGCATTGTTAGTATTAATCCACCCCTTTTAGGCAGTTAGAAATCTTCTCCTAATAGTTGGGTGTATTGTTAGCTAAGGCTGTAAGCCGCCTTTGTTTCACCTGTGTTTGAAAAGTAAAGGTTAAAAAGAAAGAAAAGCTGCAGTGCTGTCACAAAGCCACCGTCACGAGCAGTGAAATGTTAATTACGTGATGAGTTGGTTCTAATATAGTGTTGATTTACCTGTGGTTATTTTGAAAGCTGTGTGTTTTCTTCTTCGTGAACATCACTGGGATACCTGCTTATTTTTAGCTTCACGAACTTAGTAACCTGGCAACAGCATGTACTTTATAATGAGAAAAGTTGCTGAAACAATTGAGTTGGTTAATTAAAAATGTTGTTAATTTTTTTTTTTTTTTGCCAGTTATTTTTGAGAAAAAATAGTCCAGTTATGTCAAACGTTAATTGTGCCATTAAGTGTTTGTCCCCACTGAGTACATGTGGTTTTAAATGTTAGGGAAATTAATTTCTGAAAGTCAACATATGCTGTTGCTGCTGTTTTTTCTCCATTCGCAGCCAAAGGTTGTTTAAGCTTTTAACCTGGACTGATGGAATCGTGTTACTGACGATATCTCTGGTGCCAAATAGAAAAGAAAATGTTTGTTCGTATATCTGAACTTATTTATGTTTATATTTGATCTTAATCGTAGTTCATTTTGTTCCAAGATATATTTACAGCCATAGAAACACTGCACGCTGCACATACGTATGAATATTTGAAAAATACCATAGTGCTTCACCACACAAAATGAAAAAGTATATGTAATGGATGATCTTGTACTTTCAGTGTAATCACACTGAATTACACTGAATTTCATATTTGGTATGAAACCTAGGCCTGTTTGGTTGAACAAGAAGCTGATGTACTGACAGTAATTGAAGAATGTTGCACACAAATATCAAGAGAGTCACTCTCTCTTTCAATTCTTTTGAATATTGTCAGAGGGCATCATTTTCTGTGGGTCACCTGATGATCTCTGGTGTGCTGCGGCTCAGTGGTTGGGAATCACTAGGAGTTTAATTGATAGAATGTTCTTGTGTGTTTCAGTTAATTTGTTCCCCACACTTACGAACTGCGGCATGGAGCACAAACAGGAAGGACTGTGGTCGGATTTTGGACGCAGCCAAAGTGAGTACTCCTGAATTCCTCTGAATTGTGTATTAAGAAAAAAACAAGCAAATATTAAAAAAGTTGGGTCTGTTTTTTCTTTTTCTTTTTTGTTTTTAAAGCATTTGCAGCTAATAGACAAACGAACATGTTGGCATGGAAATGCAGGAGGACGCCTCAATGCCGATCCGCAGAACGTGGTGAGTAAAGAACTTTGATTCATTCCAAGTATGAATTTCTTTACTTTTTGTTAAATGTATATTAAGACTATATTTTCAAATACATTTTTTTTGAAAAGATTATCCATTAACCATTAGAATTGAGGCGTTGGGTTCATATCTCTACTAAATACGTCCAGCTCAGCTTTGCTCTGACATGTTTGGCTTGATTGTTTTTGATTCAAGGCAGGTGATGGGCCCAGTCTTACAGTAATGTATTAGGACCGCTGCCATACAGCAGGGCAGCATAATGGTGCCACCATATTGTCCAGATTAGAGGAATTACTCCGTGTTGGTTGGCCTGCAGAGAGTCCCCGTGGCAGGTGTGAGGTGGAGTGTGTGTAAACAGCCACACTGGCACCACTGGGCTCTCCACCTCAGCTGAGATGACAGCCCAGGTGTCTCCTGGGACATGTAGTGTCAGGCTGGATACCCCGGTCCACCTGGAGTCTGCTGTCATAGCTCCTCCAGATCTCCTATGGGGATCCCGCTGACATTTAGTGTTCCACATGTCTGCCCCTAGAGGGGTGTATAGGTCAATGTGATTGCAACACTTAATATACAACATCAGTTAGCTGTGACAATTAGTAAACATAAGGTAGGTGAGCAGATTTTACAGTCGAAGCCTGCTCAGATTAGTCCTTTATTGGACTGACATTTCCAGCTAATATCAAACGTCAGGCTGTAATAATATGTTTTTTTTTTCCCTTTGCAGCTGAAGGAGGTGAATTCAGCCAAAATTCTCTCTGCGATGCTGTCATATGTGTGGCCGAAGGATAGACCAGATCTGCGTGCCCGCGTTGCTGTTTCACTGGGGCTGCTGGCTTGCGCCAAGGTAAAGTTGTTTTCTATTTCTTTCTTTTATAAACCTATCGGATTAGTGCACAACAACGCCACAAAGCTCTGATATTTTCTTCAACATTCACCCTAACAATACAACTTACGAGTCTGTCATAATGAGAAACAAGTTTTACAAGAAGCTATAAAGGTGGTAAAACGACTAATGAAATAAAACACCCCAACGATCATGATTGTCATAACTGCTATAATCTTTTCCGGCTTCCCAGATTCCTCAGTAGCTTGAAACACAATACCTACAACTAAAATATAAAGTGCTAAATATGTTAACTGCTGCTAAGTGTTGGTGTTAAGATCATCTTCCCTGTGATTCATACAAACTTGCTAATTCTACTAATACTACTTCTTTTCTCAGAAGTTAGTAGTTAAAAAGAATTAGAATTACAATCACGTCGACGTCTTGAGCTTCCGTGCTGCGTAAATGCCAACATTGAGTCTAATTACAAATTATTATTATAATTCAATGTACATGTATGTTATTGTTATTTTAAAAAAAGGTCAAGAACCCGCAACCTTTTCACAAGCTGCATGTGTTCACAGAAATCTATAAATAACACGTGTCGGCATAAAAATAAATAAATACATGAACAAATAATTAATTAATTAACTCCCAGCATCAATCAGTGAACGGCACCTCTTCTTTTCCTTTGTTGATGGTCTCTAATTTACATTCTGGAAAACAATCACACATTCTCAGCTTCTAAATGATTATGTCCTGCTGCCCCCAGCATGGCTCCCTCTAGTGTGTGCTGAGGAGTAGAGCGTGCGCTGGTGCTGTTCAATCTTCTACTGTTTTTCTGCCTGGTCGGGGGTTACACTCCAGTACTCCATTTTGTCTGTTTGAATTAACGCCACCACTGGCGTGGAGGCAATTTTCAAATCAGCAGAATAATTATGTGCTTACATCGCGTTGTTCCTTCGCCCTCTACATTATCAGTGACATTTTCATTCCCAGTAAGAATGATGTTAAAGCTCTTGTTTTCGCTGCCCTCTGTGACTGGGGCCGACATTTTGTGCTTTAGGTCCTTGTATGTGTCTCACATTAAATTAATGAGTTCATGAGTTTGTGTCTTGACAGGGATTAATCAACAACACAAAGATGCTAGCCGAGCATTCGGATTCTGGTGTTGTAGATGTTAGTTGCATAGATCTGTGAACTGTGGCAGTTGAAAAAAAAAAATCACAGAAAAACTGAACACTGCACCTAAAACATTTGAGATGCAGCTTGTACACACTAGGAAATCGTGAGATATATTTTTAGACACAGCAATAGTTGGATGTCAGTTGGTATGTAGTCAGTTTTCTGACTGTTTTGCTCCCACTGTAATGATTAAACCAAATTAGCAGCATTTCTCCAGAGCCTACGTCAAATACTTACACAAGAGATGAGCCCACGTCATATTGTTGTATCGTTGTCACTAATGGCAGTATTAAAGACAAGACAAGAATGAGGCTGTTTATTGGTTTGTTGTTGCTGGTTGTCTACACTGCAGGTTAAACTAATGAAAATGAGTTAGTTGAAGATGTGAATAATTGTGGCTGTAAGTTGGAAAGTTGGTTTCGTCTCTACGTGACCCTGCAAAAGACGGATGACTTCCAACTCGACTGACGAGATAACAGTAGATAATTAACAAATGGCCTGAGCACATGATTTAACCCAGTAATAACTCATTTGTTTTTTTTTAATTTAGAAACTTTATTTGAACTTTGGAGTCAACAAGAAAAAACAACAACAAAAACTAATAAATTGTAACATCATATATTTATCCCATTTCCTTAGCGATTCAGGCTAATACCTCTATAATTATATAAAGATAATGATAATACACACATCGTTACATAGATATTTCTGTATATACATACATTTGCATATATATGGGTATATATGTAGATATGCATTTGAATATGTGTGTGTAAAAATTTTTTTGAAAATTATAAATTATATTTTTCTAAATATACTGTATATGTAAACCTATGTATATGTCACATATATATATATTTATCACATCTGTTTCCTATGTAATTATTGTTACTTTTTACCTTTTTCTAATTTGCATAATGTAGAATTGGATAGGTATAATAGAACAAAAATTGAAAAATTGAAAGGAAAAAAAAAATAGAACCCTGAGTGTAAAGGGCTGAGAGGTTCGAATGAAATGTGTTTGAAATATAAACGCTGTGGTGTGCTGCTGTGTTCTCTGGCTGTCCTAATGCACTGTGGACCGCCTATCCTGAGTCACACAGCTGTCCCTGTGCTTTTAATTAGCCCTAATAACCATTTCACTTCCATTAGTACGAGGCTGCAGCACCAGCCGAGCCGGTGGAGAAAAATACACACACATTACACCACACATACATTTCCTGCTCTATATCCAGTATATCTTATTCAAGTGTGTTCAAGGATACATATGAATTCATGTGGAGCACATTGGTGCCACACGTCAATAGATAATATGGAGCGCCGCTGCCGAGGCCGTGTTGTATCGAGCATATGTTTGTCTAATGTGCTATCTGAAACTATTCACACTCCGTCGTTCTCTCTTCTCTCCCTCTGTTTTTGCCCCTCCTCCTCCTCCTCCTCCTCCTCCTCCTCCTCCCCAAACGTCCCCTCACTTTTCCTCTGCCCTCCCCAGATCACCAATGTGACGGTGCCCTTCATGTTTAAGTATGCAGTGGACGAGCTTAACCAGATGTCGGGACACATGCTGAACCTAAGTGACGCGCCAAGCACTGTGGCTACCATGGCAACGGCTGTGCTGATTGGCTGTGAGTCCCAGACTTGTGTTGCACTGGCAGGTGCCGCATGCATCAGAAGGGACTGGGGGTGTTGGGGGTGGGAGGTGGGGAGAGTTTGACTGCCTGTTATCTGCCAGATGACCTTTCCCAGCGCATTCATATCAATGCCGCTCCGCAACCTCCGCCTAACCCCCTTCACACTATTTACAAAATGTGCTCTGCTCTGCCGGAGCGACTTTCTATAAATCCATACGGCCCTCTGGTGAATACTGACGACTTTTGTGCACGATACCTGTGTGCTCCCTCAGCAAACAGAGCTGGATATATTTTCAAAGCAGTGGGGAGGAACTTGTTAATATCTTTTTTGAAAGCAGTTCTATATTGTCAGTGTTACCGAGGCCAGGGATTTTTCTTTCACTTTCCTTGCTTAAAAGAAAGACTGCTTTTCAAGACTTTCCTCTTAATGTAAAGTGAATTTGATTTTTTTTTTCCCTAAAGTTTTTTTTTTTACCTTTCCATTTTGATAAAAAAAAAATTCACCAAGTGAACTTGACACCCACTGAAACTCACTATGGCCTTGAGTGAGATCTTAGATGCAATGTACACTTAGTCCAGCAGCCACTTACTTTAATGACACCACTTAGGTCTCGGACACTAATGCTTTCTGCTGTGGAGCACAGGGACAGGTATTCAGAGAGGGAGAATAAGGACGGCAAAAGAAAATGGAGATTGGTATTAAAGCAAAAAACAAAAAAAACAGAATTTTTTTCTTGGTATTAAAGCAAAAAACAAAAAAAAACAGATTTTTTTTTTGGGGGGTTCTTCCTTTGCCACCCTCAGGTCTGTGGTGGGGGACTCTGACCCTGTGGTGACTGTATCATTTGGATGAAAACATAGTATATTGCTTGTCCTACCTCGTCTGTTGTAGACACATTGTTCATTACATGAGGAGTCCTATTTAACGCCACATTACAGCCCTGTCAACACCAGCACACACAGCCATTATTAGCCTTTGGTCTCGGGAGGAAAGTCTCGTACGAAAAAAAGTAAAATACCCACAGGAAGGCCGTGTGTCATTCAAACACAATATAATCACAATTTCAATACTTCTTAGGAAATTCATTAGAATGATGATTTATATCGAACTGAAATTCAAACTCAAAAAAACATTTTTTTTGCCGATACTAACAAGCAACAAAAGAGCATAAATGTCGCAGATCAAGCGTAATCTTTTCACTATGGCCAGAAGCAGTAAAGATTTGGGGTCTCGGCGTTAACACCATCCTTTTTGACTGTTTGAAGCCTTTGAACGGCAGCAGATTGTCTTAGATACAGAGTGACTCATCTCTCTCTGTGAATCTGCCCAGCTCAGCTGAGAGCCACACGTGTGGGATATGTCAACAAAGCGGGAGCCCGAAGACTGTGGAGGCTAAATTAAACACTGGCCCCACACCGTGTTATTTTAAACTTTCAAAGGTTAGGAGGCCTGTCACTACTGAGAAAGAGGGGAAAAAAACAAACAGCCAAGAACAAAAAGACAAGAGTTTGAAATTTGTATCACGTCGACCAGTTAAGGCAGACAGGTTGTTGTCACAAACTGGGATTATATATTTATGTACCTTTAACTGTGACACAAAAAGCCTACGCATACTTACAGAAAATTGTTACATGGTAAAAAAAAAAAAATAAATAATATTTGTTATAAACAATCATGTAACTCAATGTTCACATCAACCCTACAAAAAATCAAGTGGTTTTGAAAGTTTAAAAAAGTAAGTGATAGCAAATCTCACTGTACGTGCAACAAATACATCAATTTCTTCTTGTGTAAGTCCTAGGAGAAAGAATCCACCTTTTTCTTTTTCTCGTTTTCACCTCCCCTAACGTGCTCTGGCACCCCCTAAGGTGATGCGCCTTACCATTTATAAAAACAACTAGTTTTTGGCCTCTACTCTGTAGACTTGTCTTGTATGAATTTTACAACTTGCCGAAAGTCATGACTTCTTGTCTTTGACGTCTTGAACGCAGTGCAGAGGTTCTCTGACGTATCTGGCCCTGGTTTCATTTCCTTAACAGATCAGTCGTCTCTACAGCAGTTATGTGAAACAGCAACAACTGATAGTGGCCTTTGTGGTAGTGTTTACAGTATTCCAGATCGCTGTAACGTACAGTAGGACAGCTCTAGTAATACACGAGTGTGCTCGCCCTCTTAGACACTGCAGAGTTTTTTAACTGTCTGCTGTTTTGAGGGGTTATAAATAATCTAACAAGAGTGTTCTAGCCAAACAGTCTGTGAGCTGGTGGAGGTGCATTCAGTCTCACACTTTTTAAATTTAGGATTCAGATTCCCATTTCTTTTTAATTTATGTTTTCAAGCATTCTATGTTCCCCCCGAAAGCTTTGAGAGGAATGAGTTGACCTAAGCTACACCTAAAAAAATAATACTGTTACCTAAGCTACACCTAAAAAAATAATACCGTTGCTGCTGCCATTTAATTCTGTTTCAAATGATTTTAAATCGCTTAAAGAAAGTCTTGAATTTATTAATATATATATAAATATATAAAACTTTTTTTCAAGGTGTAAAACAGATACATTTTCCTGTTTAATACAGATTCAGTATAGAGCTGTGGTTCTCAAACTAAGGTATGTATACCACTTGTGGTACATGGCTGCACAGTGTGTGGCTGTCTATCATTGTTAGTCATAATGGTGGTACTCGGTGAGCTAAGTATTTTCGGGGTCGGTACATGGTTTCTGATTGAAGACAATTTGTCCATTGTTGTCACCTTAAATTGATGTAAATCATATTTTTTGCAAATCATTTTTGCAACATGATAATATTTTGTTGCCTGTGATTTTGTGGCTGAGTTGTTGTGGTTCATTATCTCTGCCGTTTTTTTGTGATGTTGCATCTCAGCAGTTAATTGTGGAATGTCACGGATGCAATAGAACTTAGAAAGAAAATACAGATCATTTATAAGTTCTACATCCAAAAAATGGAAAAAAATCTCTGTACCTGCACGTGTCCAGGTCACACTTCAGATTCCTTTTGATCAGTACAGAGTGTGCTGGCCTGTCACCGCTACGAATCAGATAACATCTATCTGTAATTACAGAGGCTTCAGATGAGTCTGGGCTCCTCACTGCAGACCAAAGATGATGTAAAAAGAACTGTCTGTCTTTTACATATATTCACTATATCACAGGCCAGAGAAATGTATGTGTGAATTCCCATTGTGCTGCTTCCTCACAGCCAGGATGGGATAAAATGATGGTACATTTTCACCAGACAGCATCATAACACCCAGCCCCACTGTTCAAACCTCCCTGCGTCTCACAGCTGGTGTGCTAAACTCTCCGTCTCCTCTGCTATCCCAGATGGTGTGTCACGGGCTTGCTCGGCCCTCTTCAATGAGCTGAGGAACACTGTGTTCGGCAAGGTGGCCCAGAGTTCCATCCGGCGCATCGCCAAGAATGTCTTCCTCCACCTGCACAATCTAGATCTGGCTTTCCATCTGAACCGACAGACAGGAGCCCTGTCCAAGGCCATCGACCGCGGCACACGGGGCATCTCCTTTGTTCTCAGCGCCCTGGTCTTCAATCTTGGCCCCACCGTCTTTGAGATGGGCCTCGTCAGTGCCATCTTGGTGAGTCGTAATGTAGAATTGACACACAGTTATGGGCGATTGTAGTAACGCTGCTGAGAAATGTTCCCTCATTTCATGTTTCTGCCACTGGTTCAGCTCTTGGTGTTAGCGCAGACGCTTTCATCACCTTGACGCACTTCAGAGCAGATTGTCCGGAAATTAATTTCTCAATATGAGCTCATTTACATTTTAAATGGAATATGAATCCCCGCGAACGTCGGGGGCAACACAGAGCCTATTATTGTCGTTGATGAGTCCCAAAGCTTTGTTGTAGCCCCTTAATGTCCTCCTGCAGAGTATGCCTTACACATACCCCCTCCGCCCCGCCCCCCCGTCATACCCCCTTCGACTGGCATGGAACGAGCGGCTCCTCTATAGCTTCCTGCTATTATTCCACCCTGGACGATAATGTCACTCTGCCTGTAATGAGGGCAGACTCCATTGCCCAAATAGCTAAAGCATTAGCACAATTACTTCTTATAGTTTTTCCCCTCCATTTGTAACACTCAATTTCATAGTGGAATAATTAAAAACGGAGCTCTCTTGGATTACCATTGTGACACCGTGGCAGGAGTCTGTGTGAGGCGGTCAGTGTTCAGAGTCACAGCCTGTGTGTTTCTCATCCGCAGTATTACAAGTGTGGTGGACAGTTTGCAGCAGTGGCCTTGGGCACCTTATCCGCATACACCGTTTTCACCGTCCTCTTCACTCAGTGGAGGTAACAGTCAGGATCTCTGTGCTCTCTCTCTCTCTCTCTCTCTCTTTGTACTGTTTATAATCACAGCATGATTATCTCTTTTCTTCAGGAAGAAGTAAAACAAATTATTTTTTTCAATTTTTTGTCAGACTAAAACTGAAAGTAGCAAATCTTTGCCTAAACATTAAAGCTTTAATTTTTTTTTAAATATAACAAAATGTTATTAATATTTGATTTTTAAAAAATATTATTAATTCTGTAATTCTGATTAGTGAAATAATGGCTTTTTTAATAATTTAATTTTTTATTAGTATTTAATTAATTTTCTATTACTGTTTAACCTACACTCAGCACACAGTCACAGTCACAGCCATTTTGCTCCTTCCCTCCTCTAAACATTTTCAAATCCGCTCTTATTCGTTCTGAACTGCTGTTCTCAAAGGAAATATCATTACAAATCACTGCAGTTTTCCCACCCTGGCACAATTAAAGAAAATATTGAAATCAAATGTAATTGGCCTTGCTGCGTCCCCTGCTGCATTAGCTCTGTGTACCCCAGGGAGATTTACTCTCCTGTCCCATTTTTGGGGGGTAGAGGAGGGCACTGGCCTAAATTGAAGCAAAACAATCACAAATCTAAAAAGAATCTTGTTTAAAAAAAAAAAAACTTGCCCAATGCCAGTGCTTAATTTTTCATTTTTTATTCTACTTCTAATCTGTTCTTGTCCTCATCTGCAAATGCATTTCTTGGTGTCTTTAAACTTGGGGTCAAACTGAGGACTAATTTATTTTTACAGTCTGTTTTCACCCCCTCAGTCAGTCACTGTGGATGTGTGTCTTCTCACAGGACTCGTTTCCGGATACAAATGAACAAAGCGGATAATGAAGCAGGCAACGCAGCCATCGACTCCCTCCTCAACTATGAGACCGTTAAGGTGAGACAAACATGGACACAGCACAGCACTCTCCAGTCTTAAAAGAAGAAAAATAAAGAAAATATTTAAATATCACGACTTCTCTTTTAATCAAAGAAAAGTGCCGACTGTCCTCTTTGTCTCTGCGCTTTCTCCTTTACTTTCACACACAAACCGTTAAAGCAGGAGCAAGGACCAGTGGAGTTTTAAATTTGAATTTAAGGGTCTCAATCCAGGGAGCCATAGTTTCTTCATCCGTGGAACACATTATTTCAAATACGTCTCGGGACATGGTAGTTTAAAAATCCGAATTTAATCAAATCAACACAGCATGCTTTATGTTCCAACACTCCCCCTCTGGCAACACCACCCTTCCTCCTCCTCCTCCTCCCTCTTCCTCCTCCTCTTGCCTACATGTTATGATCACTGCAGTGATTTCCAAACCTTTTCAGCCCAATTTGGCGCCTGACAAAAATAAGCTTTCATTAAATCACAATCAGGTTAATTATGCTTTAGAGTTTTTGAGGAGGACGGATTGAACACAAATTAACAAAAAACTTTGGTCCTTGGTACTTTTTCTACCAGGTATTTATTGTTTCAGGCCTCGTCCAGACCAGGTTTTTACCATGAATCCAGTATGGACTAAGTTACATGATATTGTTTTGGAGGGTCACAGTAAATTCAGCAGTGTCTTGGAGGAGGCTTTATGTTCCAATCCTCTAGTGTTTTTGTTTAAGTTTAAGTGTTTCTCTCTGGTTTAAGTATTACTTTTTCTTTTTTTTATCTCTTTCAAATTTGCAATCATGAAGTCTGCAAAACATCACTGCACAGAGAACATGAACACAATGACACATTCTCACTCTCAGCCTCTTTTGTGTACTGCTCCAGATTTACAAGTGTTCTTGTTGTGTTCTTAACTGTATTATATTCCTCCCTGGTTTTTTGTGTGTCTGTTTTTTTTTTCTCCTTAGTGTTTTCTCGTGTTATTTTGTGTCATCTGTGTCAACACAGCCAGATTTAGCATCACTCTGAGCTGTGAGTGTGCATATGTAATTAGATCTCCACCCACTCAGAAATCCGTTCCACTTTCACAAAGGGCTGGAAAAAAGAAACCCTGAACGCGGTGCCTTGCATTGCTTTGGTTTGTACTCCATGTGCTACTTTCCTTCCTTCTCTCTGTGGTTCCCTGCATTTCCGCATATGTAAATGAGAGACAAGGCGGCGGCGGCGGCGGCACAGCACTACTGCCGTTAGCTAGAGAAGCAAATCGCCCACTTAACCAGCAGAGAAACAATAGTGCAAACTAAACAAACAGCAATATTAGGTAATTGGCAGTAGAGTCTGGGAGGGCCGTTGTTGTGAATATGCTGCGACTTTATGGGCAGATTTTAACAGATGTGCTGGAGGCTGATTCATGAGGCTGTTCATCTCTACACTGATGGCTGTACGTCTTAATCAGAATTAGTGTGTGGCGCAGCACTTAGTCAAACAAGAAAGCATAAACCCAAATCTTTCAGACAGGACTGAGTGTCATTAAGGCTTTTACTTCAAATCAGAAAAAAATCTTTTTGCCGTTAGCGTTAGCCTTCTGTAAAGCCCTCAAAGTGTGTCCAGCTCAGTGAGGCCAACGTTGGATTTTGGACCTTTGCCTTTTAAAATAAGAGAAGAGGAAATGACGAAAGGGGACATTTGGAGGGGGGACGGTGCTTTAGATGCTGACAGAGACCCAGACTACACCCGGAGGGGTTCACTGGGAACAAATGCAGCCTTGAAGCCGGCTGTCCCTGTGCCTGACGCTGTTCTAAATGCTTTCTTAACCTTTAACCTTCACCATTATTTTGTCTTCCTCTTTCTTTTTCCCTCGCAACTTTCACTTTCTTGTAAAAATCCTTGTGCGCTCTCCCTCTCCGTTGGCCTCTGAACCCTGTTCTCCTTCTCCATCTCTGCTGCAGTACTTCAACAATGAGAAGTACGAGGCTGAAAAGTATGATGGATTTCTGAAGACTTATGAGTCATCCTCTTTGAAAACTACATCCACACTGGCCATGCTCAACTTTGGCCAGAGTGCCATCTTCAGCATCGGCCTCACCGGCATCATGTTGCTGGCCAGCAAAGGAATCACAACAGGTGAGGGAGCTGGGTTCAATATATATATAGTCAGGTCTCAAATGTAAAGGATACAATCCCAAAAGTCCTAGATACACGTATGCCGAGAGTTCGATTTGAACATGTTTTATTTGTTTTAACGGTGCCTTTTTATATTGAAGTCTAAGCGTCTCAAATGTAAAGGATACAATCCCAAAAGTCCTAGATACACGTATGCCGAGAGTTTGATTTGAACATTTTTTATTTGTTTTAACGCTGCCTTTTTATATTGAAGTCTAAGACAAGGGTCACTTATATTTGTCTAATATACGTAGGTGACCTTATACTGTAGGGTCAATTTTTTTTTCTGGATAGACAACACATGGGCCGGGCCTGACACTCAAACAAAATAAAATAAAAATCACATTTTGTCTAACATAATTATTTGACATTTATGACACTGATAGTTAGACCCTAATTAATTACGCCTTTTTCACTTGCTTTAATAGTTGGGACCACCTCTTTTCGAAAACAATTTTGAGATCCATGGGCCAGATTTGGTCCAGGGGTCCACCAGTTGATTAACACTGGCTTAAGCAGTAGGGCAGGGAAAGTTATTATTTGGTTAATGCATTTATACTTGTTTAATTTAAAACATCACATAGACTCAACTCTGTAGTGGAAAAGACATTTTCAGAGCTGTGTTAACATTTTGTCTTCATGAGTCTGACGTGCATCTGTTGTGCGTCTGTTGTGCTGTCGAAACGCAGGTACGATGACGGTGGGAGACCTGGTGATGGTGAACGGCCTGCTTTTTCAGCTCTCCCTCCCCCTCAACTTCCTGGGCACAGTTTACAGAGAGACCAGGCAGGCTCTCATCGACATGAACACTCTTTTCACTCTGCTCAGCCTCGACACTAAAATCAAGGTACGTGACGTCGCCGTTCTCCGTCTCCTTCCTTTCACTTCCATTTGACAAAACACCACAGTAACATGACCCGGGCAGGAATCCTTTGAGAGAAATGAAAGTTTTTAACACAGTGCTGAGTTGCTCCTGAGATGTTTGATGTTGCATGACATGGCTAACTCATCTGCATGTGCTGCGGTGAAATGATAGGTTGTAGTCAAACCTGGTAATTACATGCTTGATGTGACTCAGGTGCTTCCTCGACGCTTGCTGCTCGTCGTGTGTGCGTGCATGTGTGTGCGTGTGTGTGATATCGCTTCCTTTCACCTCAGTGTGATCTCCATCAGGTTATTCTCAGGATGTGAGCAATTGTAGCCGAGCTGTCGTCGAGCTGAGATTCTGTGATTCAGCCACAGAAGTTTAAATTAGTGATCTCTCAGTTTCTAATCTGAATCTGTGATCTGAGATGAATACTTACATATAAGTTTTGCACCTGAACGTGAAGTTAACAAATGAGTCCATAATGGCTAATAATCCTGTAATGTTTGAAGCTTTTATATATATATATATTTTTTTTTTTTTTGCTGTTTTCCGCTTTAAATGCAGTCTAGCCAGAAATAATTAATGTGAATATAAATAAATAAATTAGCTTTCTAAGTTGAGCTCAGAAGTTGTTTTTTTTTTTTTTTCTTTTCTTGTTGAACCTTTCAGGGTCGGATTTTGACTCAGTTTCAATTGTAATTTTCTTAATTAACACAGATTTCCTTTTCTTTCCCAGCAGCACATTCACATCTACAGCAGTCAGCCTGGGTTATTTTCATTAGCAGCTAATTGTTGTTTTTTTAATTACTATTAATCAATGCCTCTCCAAAATACTGGATGTGATTTTTTTCTTTTTGTTACCATTGTAAAAGCACATTGGCTTTATTTACTCACTCAACAGTGAAGGACTCTGGAAAATTCAGTTCGTTTGTGAAAGCAAAAAACAATAATAACAGACAAATGTTAAAAAGATTTGGATTAGTTAAACCAATCCAAAGTGGTTGCAGGATTAAGATGTTTAATCTCATTGTTGAAAAAATTGAGAAACCAAAGTAACGTCTGGTGATTGTGTTATAAATATGTTAATATAGAGGATGTTATTTTTTTTGGATAAATTCTGATTTTTTTTTTTTAAGGTATCATGAGCTGAATAATTAAAGTTTCTGTTCAACCTTGAACACTGAAACTATGAGCTGTTATTGTGACCTTTCTATTTAACTTCCTCTCCGTTTGTGTGTGCAGTGAGTGTGTGGCAGAAATGTGCACCTGCTGATAAACAGTGTGAATACGGTTTCCAGCTCCAAGCTAAAAAAATTACAGGATGAAAAAAAAAAACTCGGTCCGTTTTTTTTTTGTTTTGCACCAGTGAGCAGTAGTCTGTCCTTCCCTGTGGACTGGACCTCAGCCCAGTAGGACATTGGGTTGTTTTAAATACACTGGGCTGCGTTTGGTTTTGTAAGCTACATTAAAATTAACATCTGTTTCCAGTCATCAACTGCAGTTGTTTGTATTGTGTTGTTGGAGGTGAACGGTGACGATGGTGTTGCTGTAAGGCAGCACAGAGACAGAGCAGAACGGGCGTCGACTCCCAGGCAAAGGACGCGCTTTATTCACTGTTGACCTTGGCTGCGTCTCGGCAGCGTGACTCAGCTCAGTGTGTTCCCAAAGTTTCCGGGGCCGATTGATTCCCCCAGTCACTGTGAAGGGCAGCGTGTGAAGGTTCAGATGGTCTTTTTCAAACGGTCTCTCCAATTTTGATGTGATGCCTCTGCTTTATGCAAGTCTGTGTTGGCTCTGCGCTCCGCTGTTATTCCTCTTTACAACGTGTTGGAGTAACGTTGCATCATGCTGGGCCTTCTCTGCCAGTGGCTGTTCTGTATCCATCTGTGTTCTTTTCATTTAACGCTTTAACTCTTCTACGCTCTGCTCCAGGAGAAAGATCTGGCGCCACCTCTGGCCGTCACACCGCAGGAGGCCACCATCCGTTTTGAAGACGTCTATTTCGAGTACCTGGAAGGCCAGAGAGTCTTAAATGGAGTGTCCTTTGAGGTGCCTGCCGGGAAGAAGGTGGCCATAGTCGGCGGCAGCGGATCTGGGTAAATCTTGAAATGTATCTCGCACTGATCCACTGACAGTTAAACCTTCAGCCGGCTGTGGTGTGTCGACTCATTTATATGTGCAGTGATTTGTATCAGCCGATATCATCAGCAGACCGCAGGAGCTGTGATGATGATTGTTTCCTCATCTGGTTGCAGGAAGAGCACCATCGTTCGCCTGTTGTTCCGCTTCTTTGAGCCCCAGCAGGGGAACATCTATATAGCAGGGCAAAACATCCGAGACGTCAGCCTCGACAGCCTGAGGAGAGCTTTGGGGATTGTACCGCAGGTCTGAGACACGACAAAACATTCATACCATAATAATAATATACTAACTTTGTTTTTTAGAAAAGTTGGTACACTGTCATCCATAAACAGTATGTACGTGGCAGTGTTTCTTCTATTTTTTTTTTCAAACATTATGGAATCAGTGTGACGCTGCTGTTAGGTTACGCTGATTATATAAATATCATATTACAAGACATTCATTTCGACCAGTCATCAGTTCATACCCGACAGTGCCTTCACCAAAAGGAAGTCAACTTCAGTAAAGATCATATTGACAAAATAGAAGAAGTATGGCTTGTTAAACCTGTGAGCTTTATTAACCTCAGATAAACCCAGTGCCCCAATGGTCTGACCCAGAATCTTGTTTAAGGTACATTAAATAATGAAGAATTTGAAGGAATAAAATAAAGTTTGAATTTGTCACATGCCAGTTTTTGGATTCTTGTGTTTTAACCTGTAACTATTCAGAACATTATAATATTTGAGTAATAGTATGGTTAATAACAGAGGATCAGCAGTAATAGTTAACAGCCGTAGTAATAAGTTTATTGCCAATAACTTTTTACTGCAGTGAGCTCAGAGGCTGATCTGAACAGATGGAACATTTGTTTTTTCTGCTTTCTGTCCTTCTTTAAATGGTTTGAGAATCTGCCGTCTTTTGTTTGTGTCGTTTCTGCAATAAAAAATGGAAAAAAAAAACATTCTTTGAAGCCAGATTAATTATTTTCTCTCCTCTCTGTATTTTGTCAGGATGCCGTTCTGTTCCACAACACCATCTTCTACAACCTGCAGTACGGGAACATTAACGCTACAGCGGAGGAGGTTTACCAAGTGGCACGTCTAGCAGGCCTCCATGACGCTATCCTCAGGATGCCCCATGGCTATAACACCCAGGTTGGGGAGCGGGGCCTCAAGCTGTCAGGTTTGCTGCACCATTTGACAAGTGTTTAAAATAAAGTAAAAGAAAAAAAATGTTGATCTACTCAGGCAATTAAAAGAACTTCATCTGGATAAGTGACAGCATAGAGAATACAGCAGAATATTAAAAAAAAGTAATGTCAGAGTAAATTGTATTTCTTTATTTTCATATATATATTTGGATATGTATATATGAATATATATATGTATGTATATATATATATATATATATGTTTGTATATATATATATACATATACAGAATATAACCGTCACAAAAACAAAACACTGTTGTCTCCTCTCTCTGTCTTTGAGAGGGCGTTTTATGAAGTGTAAAACAGCGCCCCTCTAAATCTTACGGGTTAATTATGTGTTGAAAACATGGTACTGCACACTGTTGTCTGAGCAGGCCAAACCAAGTTGGCTTAGCCTCTTGGGACATTTTCCCCACGCCATCGAATTATTAGTGCTGAAAGCCACTATTAGGGACTAGGACTTGTACTCTGTCCAGACTTCAGACCGTCTACAGTCCTTCTAGTCGTTCTTCCTCAGGGAAGGTCACCTGATCTGAACTTGTAGTCAAGCGCTGCTAATAAGTTACATTTGAAAACCTATTTTGCACCTTGTTCTGTGCACTGCGTGGCTTTATTTCTGCAGTTATATGAACTGCTTTGACTATTTGTGAAAACCTCCATGAAGGATTAGCATCTTTTAAAATTTATATCTATGAGTATCACAGTAAGGTTACTACTGCGTTAAAAAGAATGTCTGCAAAAAAAAAAGTCATGTGAAATTAAATAAACTGTAACTACGAGCTGTTGTCCACTGGGATGAGGTTATAATTAAAATAATCCGATAATTAAATTTTCCGTCCTTTTAGGACATGAAATCACGACGGTGCCGTGGACCAATCTCTGGTGGCACCGTCATTATTTTTACCCTCTTGGTTTTTTTCATGTACACAGTATATGGACTTGGCATGTTTCCTCACAGTTATATTTAATCTCATTTGATATGCAGCGATAACACAGGATTGAGTAGTACAGTATTTGGCTCCTAGCATCTCCCTGCAACTAATTTAGCCCCACATAAACACACTGTGTTGGAGCTCTTGCACTCCACCTTCAAGATGCAATTACAAACAGCACAGATTTCTTTGTGCAAAGCTACTGAATGAGTGAATGAGTGAGTGAGTGCGCGGACAAAATAAAGACATGACTAACTTCTCATTAATTTCTCTGCTGCTGTACGCAACAGCTGCCAGTGCCTTTATGAGTCAGGAGGGGGGGGGGGCGGGTGGGGGGTGGGGAGTGGGCAGGATTTGGTGGAGGTGGGCAGTCTGGGCTCTCGGGCTTCCTTTTTCCTTCACTGGTGCCTCTCCACTGCCTGCAGTGTTCATATCTGCAGTGCTTACTTACTTATAAGAGGCCACACAGCTCATATGCAATAAAGGCCAAGTCAGACGCAGCGTGAAAATCCTTGCATAATGCAGATTTTCTTCAAAGGTAAACACAGCCTGGAGCATTGGTATGGTCAGCAGGGTATACGGTTTTTGAAGTCATTACCTGATAAAAAAAAAAAATTCCTAAACCTGCATAATCCTAATGAAGTTTTTCCCCAGATACCTTTTTTTTTTTTTTTAAGTATTTTCCTGTTATGTACTTGCCAAAACCAAGAACCAGTACCGATACTTCTTTGGGTTTGGTTTTCTATGAATATGCAGTGGACGGGAAGATTGTGTTTTTTAAAGATGGCACCGAGGGAAATGGTGAGGAAGCAGGAAAATGCTCATTTTCTTATTAACAGAAGACTATTTTTATCCAGTAAGTCCTTCTGTATTTAAAGTCAAAAAGTCTTCAACCTGACACTGTCGTCACATCAGACCACGCTTCAATAAAACACATTAATAAAGACAATAATAAAAATGTTAACTCAGCCAGCTGAACAGAAAGTGAGCAGAGCTTTTGAACAGGAAACAGCGTCTCCTGCTTCACCATTGGTCAAGGTGTCACTTGAACACTGCTTCTATGTGTCAATACACCAATAACCATATAAAATCACAGCTATAGAAATCGATGAGGTGAGGTATGTTGGAACGGTGAGGTGTAGAGTCCTCATCTGTCCTCTGTTCTGCTGCTGAGAAGACATTAATGAATTCAGCGCTAAGGCTCGTCAGGTGTTTTTTTTTTTTTTTTTAAATTAAATTTCTTGTACAATAACGAAACAAATCTTACAGTAAACCTCGCTCCTGTCTTTGTCCCTGATATTGAAATTTCTCAAAACTGCTGACGTCGTTGACCTACTTAAATAAACTACCCATGAGGACAATGAGACGTTGAACTGCAGTAGTAAAATACACAACACGGTTACAGACTGTAAGGTGTCTGGATCAGGACATGAATATGAGTATTTGGATGACGTATCGTTGTTCGCCCATGCTCTTCCTTGGTCATTCCTAATCCCGTCACATCATCTGCTTTTTGTTTCCAGGAGGGGAGAAGCAACGCGTGGCAATCGCCCGAGCGATCCTGAAGAACCCGGCCATCCTACTGTACGATGAAGCCACGTCGTCCCTGGACTCCATCACCGAAGAGGTGGGCCCGATGGGGCACGAACTCGCACGCCCAGGCAGACGCGGGCATCCATTCGTACACTAACGCGCTCATAAATGCCCACTCTGTGCCGCGGGAACAGGTTGACTCCTCGCCTCGTCCCCGCGGCACACGTTCACCAGAACAAACACCCACACATTCACCTGCTGCAGGAACACAATAAGTCGGCTCAGACCTGCGTCACACACCTGCTGTGGCATTCACTCCCTCCTCCGTGCACACACACACACACACACACAGCCACTGTTTTCTCCTACTTAATCTGCAGCTCAGCTTAAACTCCAGCGTCTTTGTAAATGTTACATTTAATGAGAAAGTTCAGCACGTCCTCACTGAACTTTAAGAAGAAGAAGAAGAGGAAAAAAACCAAGAGTGGGGCAGTGGATGCCTCTGTTAATTGAGGTTTTTTTCTTTGTGTTTCTCATCACGATGGTGTTTTTAAAATTATCATATGTAAACACCAGGAGGGAAAGAAAAACACATTGAAGGTGGATGTTGCTGAGCAACATTCTGTTGACTTAGCCGCTTCTTCAAATCAAAGTTTGCGATTGCTTTTCATATATATCCTGTCATTCATGTGCCTTTCTTTTCTCTCCACTCCTTTTTTTTTTTTTTCTGCAGATTGGCATTATTGCAAACCAGAGGAAGTGCCTTCCTTTGGGTTAGGAGCTGTGCTTGTTAACAGAGAGATAATTTCATTTGTCTTTTGTCTCCAAAGCACATCTTAAACTCCATGAAGGAGTTGGTGAGGGACAGGACGTCAGTGTTCATCGCCCACAGACTCTCCACCATCGTGGACGCCGATGAGATTATAGTGTTGAACGACGTAAGAACTCATCAGCTTATTTATTTATTTATTTTTTCACCTGACCTTTCTCCTCACTGAAATAACACTTCCAGATGTTAATGTCACACGTTCGTAGAAGTAAATAATACTTGTGTTTTAGAGTTTGCCAGGATGAAGATGCACCGTGTTAATTGCCAGTCCAATTAGACCGTTTGGCATTAAGAGAAATATGATAGACTGCCCCCTGCCTGACCCTCAGCCTACTGTACATGCCCACAACAAGTCGCCTGTTTTTTTATTATTATTATTATTTTTTGCCACATTTATTTTCAGTTACGTTTTTCTGCAGCGTGCATGACAAAAACATGCTTTGTTTAGCTTTTCTCATTAACTTTAACAACAACAGGGCACTGTTAGTTGAAGTGAATGTATTATTTTCTCCATACGGGCTCATTAAAGCATTCAGACTCGACTGGCTGTTTTGGTCAGATGGCGTGTCTTGTTGTCTCGGTGACTAATAATGTATGGGCCAGCTTCCCAGACGCTGATGAGGCATTATTAACGACTACGCATACATGTGGCCACGCAAACGATCCCTGTCTGCACCGTTTAAGACCGAGTCAAGAGATGGAGACCGGGTTTTTTTTTTGTGACTTTTTGGTGCAGAGGTAGAGGTAGATGTTGAAAAATGCTGCAGCAAATAAGGGATTAGGGGAGAAAAGAAACGGTGGTGGGGGGGCAGAGTGAAGTCAGTTATCGTCTGAAAATCAAGAGTGAATTTAAAACATCACAGAGGTGAACTGAAGTGACATTTTCCACCGGAGTTGGATAAGATAAAAACCAGGAGGTTTCCTTGAACTTTGGCGACGGAGCATGTGTTGTTCTGTGTTTCCAGAGTCAGATGGCAGGGATCAGAGGGTCGTAGTGAGCGAGGCATGTTTGTGTGTGATGTCGCCGGGGCGTTTGCCGGTGTCACCAGCAGAGGACTGCCTGCGGTGCTCATTAAAATAATGAGCAGAGAGCAGTCACGTGCCCATCCAGGGTGCAGTAAAGCTGATGCCAACACCTCTGCAGGCTCATGGGAGGTGGGGGAAGAGGGCGCCTTCATTTGTGTTTCACTGTGTGGGAGGGATGTGTGTTTGTTGTGTGTGGATGCGCGCGTGTGTCTGCGATGCCATATTTTTGCAAAATGAAATGCAACAGTTGTTGGGGAGGCGGCATGGGCTCTCGTTGGAGGGGGGGGGGCAGGCTGACTGTCGGCACAAAATGTGGTCACTGTTGTGTGGTCAGGAAAATAGCTGCTAACTATAGGACTCTGTGTGTGTGTGTGTGGCCTCTTCATTTTGCTATTCTCTGCTAATTTATGTATCTCTTCCTCCTTGATCCTCCTCCTTTTCTCTGCCAGGGTAAAGTGGCAGAGCGTGGCGACCACCACTCCCTCCTCAACACCCCCGGCAGCATGTACGCCGATCTGTGGAACACACAGCACAGCAAAATCCTCAACAGCGGCAAGAGCTCGGCCGAGCCGCCGGCGCAGGCTCTGTCCCAGAAGGAGGAGGAGAGGAAAAAATTGCAGGAGGAGATCCTCAACAGTGTGAAGGGCTGTGGGAACTGCTCCTGTTGAGAGGAGTTGCCGCCGCTGCCGCCGCCGCCATCGTCTCCTCATCCCTCACAGATGGTCTATGTTGGAATCCCTGCTCCGTGTGCTGTTGCTGTTGCAAGGAGGGGGGTGTTTCATCCCCCAGTACCCTCTCCTGACTCCAACCAAAGCTTCCACCCATGTGACTGCCATCGCCCCTCCTCCCCCTCTTCACCCTCTCCCCCTTCCCCACCTCCTCCGCCTCTCCTGTGTGGATAAAGGCAGTGAGTGTGTTCGGCTCTGGCTCGGCTCCAGAGATGGAGCTTCACCGCCAGTTGCATCAGCTGAAGCCAAGCAGCAGAGACCTTGTACATCACATATGTGCGTGTGAGACATCTGCTCGTCTTCCATTGGACGGGGGAAGAGACGACGGCTACACATACTGACTTACATATGCCTGGACGCAGACAGCATATTTGTACGAATTACATTTTTTTAAATTATTTACCAAATAAAGTGAACCTAGTTTTTCTCTTTTATATATAAATATACCAAGTGTGTGTACATATTTGAAGCAGTGACGAGCAGCTAGAAAATCAGCTGCACACAGAGAGAGAGCGCGCTCCGCAGCATGTGTTTTGATGTCACTGTTGGTTCAGACTGGAAGTTCACGCAGCATGTGTTTTGAATGTCACTGTTGGTTCAGACTGGAAGTCCGCTGCACTGATATTGTTCCAAAAGTGTCAAATTTCCCAGATCATCAAGAATTCTGGGTAAACTCACATCATAATATGAATGTTTGTACTGGTGAACATGCACCACAGCTCCCCAGTGGATGTCGCACTCATGGAAATCTAACACACGGGCGGTGACTAATAAATCATGAATGGGTTTCACCACAGGAGGAAACTTAGACGTCTCCTCGGGGAACATTCCAGTCGTAGCATTTAGCCTCAGTATTTGGAGATTTTTTAAGTGTTTTTTTTAACAGTATGATGAGGAAATCCATGCTTCGTGACGAAGGTGAAATTTCCACGTTGATATAAAAATGCAGGTATTTTAGGTGCGTCCTCATTTTCTGAGGGCTGTTCTGACTGAGATGTTCGTGTCTGGTTGGAAATCTTGTATTGATGGAAAAAGCTCTGACTCAGTGGGAGACTCCTGTCGTCTTTAGGTTGACTGTGTAAAACATAAAGGTGAATAAATTCTGGTAAAAAACGGTGTGTAAGAAAATATTCTTTCATATTTTCATATTTTTCAGGTTTTGACACAGTTGGCTGTAGCCAATCCCACTGGTCCTCAGGCTGGACCACATGTAGATGTAGATATAAGACCTATATTCAATTCAGGGTGTCTATTGAACCTAACCCAAACCAATGTCAGTCACAGGGTGTAGGGGTGGTTGGTGCTCTTGCCTTACAGCAAGAACGTCACTGGTTTGATCCCTGTAGTTTTGGATTATCAACAGTTCCTGTGTAATTGCTCACTCTAAATTGACCATAGTGTGAATGTCAGTGTGAATGTCAGTGTGAATGGTTGTTGTCTCTACCAAACAGTATATGGACCGGATGATTTCTGTAATTGGTTCCACTTCCTGTACTTCAAGTATAAGGTTTCAGGTCAAGACCAACTGACTTGACAGAAAGTCGGCGTCCTCTGGCGATCTAAATCCCAGGAGACCCTTGAATTCTGAGTCCAAAGACGTTGCTCTGTGTGATATTAGAAGACAGTTGTACCAATCATACTAATGAGGACGCTCTGTATTTAATCTCTGTGATCATATTTAAACATAAACGGGATTTCTACCCGTGGGTCGGAAACGATCTGAGGAAGTCACGGGATGCTTGACAAGCTCGGACTTCTAACAGGTATGACATTTTTCTGGCATTTCATGAATTTAAGCAGGGATTTGACATTTGGAACACATGTTTACATGTTCAGTCCTCTACATCCATATCCTCCATTTGAGTCCAAACTCTCCTTCAAGAGGCGTCGGAGAATTGACAGCCAGCTCCTTTTCGCCTCATCTGAGAGCTGAAGTTAAGTTGCTTTCAAACGTTCCTTCAGTTTTAGGATTAAAAAAAAAAATGTTTCCAAGCTTCAGTCATTTTAACAAGTTTCCGTTCAGATTTGATTAAAAATGTGATGTTTGCTCTGCGTCTCATTTTTGGGGGCCTGAAAAACCAGATAAAATAAAACGTTTGTCTAGGAACAAGATAAAACTTGTCAATTTTTTATTTTTTTTTGCGCCTGAGAGACGTGTCTTCAGCAGCATTTAGTTTTTAAAGAAAAAAATTCAGTGTACAACAAGAACAACAACAATGAGGAAATATAATATATATAAATGTAGACATCACAGGGTAAATAACAATAACAAATACAAGCACAAATTAAGGCACTTTCCAGATGATGCTGATGCATGATGGGAGATGATGATGATGATGAAAAGGACCTGTATACATGTAAAAGCAGATTAATATAATATTTCTGTTAATGATAGGGTGTGTGGCAGGTAACCAGCAGGTGGATCAAATCATGGTGAATAACAGCACAAGGCCTATGGTTTGATGAAGATAATATTAACAGAACTGGTCATAGAACAAGTACAGTATGACAATAGTAGCATCGTAGCAAGTGTACAGCAGAGTTATATGAAATACCTTATGATCTCTGCATGCATGAAATAAATGACGTCTGTCTTGGAACTTTTTGACTGAGTATTTTAGTACAGTAATAAGGACGTGAATGAGTTGGATTGACCACAGTCAGCGTTCCTGTTTGTTTTTCCATCTGACTTGTATTCATAGAAACTGTAATCTATCACATCAGTCAAAACAAAAAACAATAAACTGCATTTCTGTCTACCCCCCTCAGCCTCTCCGACCCCCCACCCTCACTCCCCCCCAGTAGCCCATCTGGCATGTATGAAATTGAATAGATGAGCAGTTGCTAAAACAATTTACAGGCAGACAGATAAGATTGTTCCGATTCAGACCATTTTTCAGCTCCTGTCGAAAAACTTGATCCGTCTTCCACTGGATGCTGAGGATGATTTGTCACAGAGGCTGAGGATTTTTACCACAACAGTGGTCCTCTCTGGACATAATGACGGTGGATCCTCTTCAAGAAGCCCTGCAGCTCTTCAGATCCTCCTCGGGGAGCAGATGCATTAGGCCGCACTCCGTATGAGAGGCTTTTGGCAGGAATATAATTGAAACTGACAATGACAAAAACATCCAGATATCTCCACAGACCAGGGACCTGCTGTGCTGCGTGGCAGAGCCTCCGCCGCCTCCTGAGGAAGTCCCACGTTAAAGATGAAAGTAGACTTTGATAGTGCTCCACTTTGAAGAAAACCAATCAGTTGTCCAGGCAGATGAGATGATGTTAATGGAATCTTTTCATTCCTGTCTACGAGGAGATTAGGAGGACGTTCATTAGCGTCACCTGACGATGTTTGTCGGCTGCCCCGAACAGGTTGTTTAGCTTTGTATTATTAAAAAAAAAAAAAACTTGGTTCACTTCGATAACACTGGGGGAAAAAAGGAGAACTTTCTGTTCTTTTTCTTCTTCTTTACTGAGGAACAAGGTGTGCTGGAGGAGGAACAAAAGAGATAAACTACAGTTTTTATAAATGAATAAAGTTTGTTTTAGATTTTTATTTTACAAGCATTGAGTGTTGAAATATGAAATCATTGGATTCAGTATATATATATATACACATTTATATTAGTAACTGTGCATATGGCTATATATAGATATGTGTGTATATGTGGTTAAGTGGAGTCCTTTGTTTATATATATATCACAAAAAAAGGAATTTATAAAGAATTGACCCTGACGTGATTTGAACACGCAACCTTCTGATCTGGAGTCAGACGCGCTACCGTTGCGCCACAGAGTGAGATGGCGGGACTCAGCGGTAGGTATATATGTATATATATATACATATACATATATGGATGCATATATGTATGAAGTATATATGGACACATACATACATTGTTACATTACATATAGTATGTATGTATGTATGTAATATATAGTCTCACACACACATATATATATATATATATATACATATACATATATGGATGCATATATGTATGAAGTATATATGGACACATACATACATTGTTACATTACATATAGTATGTATGTATGTAATATATAGTCTCACACACACATATATATATACATATATACCTACAGCTGAGTCCTGCCATCTGACTCTGTGGCGCAACGGTAGCGCGTCTGACTCCAGATCAGAAGGTTGCGTGTTCAAATCACGTCAGGGTCAAATCTTTATCACCGAGGTCAAATGTCTGACGTTGAAGACTTCGTGAACACGTGCAGGACATTCAGATGCAATTTATATCTTTAGGCACTTTGGTGAAATGAAAACATTTTCCTGCAGTCTGCGTGTGTGTGTGTGTGTGTGTGTGTGTGTAAACAACAACATGTGTACCAGCTCTGTGTCAGAGCCACCGTGTCTGTCATTCTGAGTTAATATTCTTACTCTGATTCATTTCACAAATTAATTAACCTGTCAGTTTTGACAGCTCTAATGTGTATTAAAAAAATAGAACTGCGGGGGTGTAGTATATTCACTGCAGCTTTGTATCCATGAAATAATACTCTCTGCTCATATTTCCTCCGGTCAAGGAAGTATTGAACCAGTGATGGACCAGAGAAACCAAACCAGCGTTGGCTTCACGGCTATTTAAACCGAAGAAAGGACGGAGACGTCTGTTGTTCTGCCGTCCTGTGAATGACAGGTACGCTATTAGTGCTGTTGGGTGAGCGCCGTCTTCAGCAGGTGATAATAAAGCCGTTTCCTTGTTTACCGTGTGGCGTTGTGCAGGTGCAAACGAAGACGAGCAGACAAAGGAACTCTAATGACGTCCTTAATGTGGACGACAGCGGGAGAGTCGACGGAAACCGCCGTCTTCAAATGGAGCAGAAGGTTTGAAAGAACATACGTTGACGCGTGTGTGTGTGTGTGTGTGTGTGCAGATAAAAGAGTGACGTCGTCCCCCGTCTCCATTATAGATGTACATGTTAATGTCATGCCAACCAGAGGTTGCGCCTCCAGGTACAACCAACTCATTAGAACTTGGTCACCTGACCAAAAACTACAGTTAATATGGTTCTATGAAGGACTAACAAAACCATAAACAAAACCATCTTAATCTTATCTTAATCTTAATCATAATCCCAATCTTAATCTTAAATTCATGTCAACCTTAATTTTAAATGAATCTTAATCTCATATTATTTTATTTTTAAATTAATCTTAATATTAAATTCATGTCAATCTTAAATCTCATATTAATATTAATCTTGAATTAATTTTTAACCTTAATCTTGAATTAATCTTAATCTCATATTAATCTTAATCTTAAATTAATTTATATCTTAATCTTAAAGTGATCTTAAGCTCATATAATCTTATTTTATCTTTTAGCCTGGAAGACATTTAGGATGTTCATTCTAGTTGATTATTGTCATTGTTCTCTGTGAACTGACCTCAGGTCAGAGTCTGGCTGCTCTGAATGGTTGCGTTGTGTTGGTTGTGTGTCTCTGTGAGCCGCAGGGCGACAGGTGGAGACTCAAACAGTCTGAGAAAGAAAGAAAAAAACAGGTTCAGGTCCTGAACCGGAGAACCTGAAGCTGGTTCGCTGACAGAGAGGAGTGGGAGGAGCTAACGAGACACAGGTGGGGGAGGCTGGGTAATCACCGTGGAGGGAAACGCAGGAGGCAGAGAGACAGGTGGACCGAAGGGTTTGGACAGAGGACGCAGTGAGTGGAGGACACGAGGTGAGACAAAAGTTAAAGAAAATGACTTAATAACTGGAGGGTGAAGCTCCTCCCCCCTCTCTTACCCACTGACTCACCCTGTTTTCACTTCAAAAAAGAAAATCCTTCATGATTTTAGTTCAGTTTAAAAATGCTGCAGTCATTTAATGCTGTAGAAATTAAAATTAGGATGTGAATCCTAATATTGACCTTATTTATATACAGATTAGATGAAACTTTTAAAAAAAATTTATTTTATTTATTTTAATTTATATATTTTCTTTAAAAAAATGAGGTCACTGTAAACAGCTTAGTGCTGACAATGCTTTAACGTTTTTTCCCAATTAAGATAAAAAAATAAAATATTAACATCTAACAAA